CTTATTGTACCATAGAATAGTTTTGTATTCTAAAAACGTCAATTGAATTTATATTGTGGCTTAAATTGGTTTGCAATAAAAGTTGGGTTATTAACATGATTTACAGCTCTGGGGCGATAGGTATAAAATGAAAGATACTTGACATATATATAATATCCTAGAAGCAACATATCATGTTTGGTGACTCTAGATCTTATTATCTACCCAATTTGCTCAAAAACATGATTTCGATATCGATTTTTATCCATTGCTTGGAAACGGAGTAAGTTATCGATTATCGGAAAAAAAACTCGATCTACGCAGGCACTAGGAGCACCTACATCTAAATTTCAAGTCTCTAGCTCTGATAGGCTCTGAGATCCTTGCGTTTATATATACGGACGGACGGACGGACAGACAGACGGACATGGCTAGATCGACTCGGCATATTGATGCTGATCAAGAATATACTTTATGGGGTCGGAGATGCTTCCTTCTGCCTGTTACATACATTTGCATTTTGCACAAATACAATATACCCTTTTTACTCATTTGCAATGGGTTCAGGGTATAAAAGTGTAAGGGATAGACTTCCTCTAACTACGAGCTGCAAGATTACATTGGCATGACATCTGACTTGCAGGTGAAATTTGAAAAAATTCAACCGCAGTCATCATTCGCGTTCTATGTTGCAAACCATTCTCGATTAATCCAGCTTAAATTGCCGGGGCTTAGTGAAGGCTTCACAAATGGGCCGATTTTTCGAACATGTTCGCCACGGTCATCGTCAAGGATCAGTATTTGACCAACATTGAAAAACTCCAACAACTACGATCATGCCTCAAAGGAACAGCACTGGATACATTGCTCATTTAACATGTCAAACGCTAAATATATGGTGCCGCTTTAAAACTGCCTGATAAGCGTTTGAATAACAAGCGTGTTATTTTGCAGGCACACGTCCCTGAGATATAGGGTTTAACAAAGGTGGACAAGGGTGCGACGACACAACTGCGCGAATTCTTAAATAAGGGCAACTTTCATCTACGTGCGCTAAAATCGATGGGAAGTGTGAAACAGATAGTCGTTGAACCATAGTACACACAATGCTGCAAAAGCTACGCACGTCAACCATCATGTGACCGTCAGAGGCTGGTTCCCAGGTGGGAACAACAGTACCAGAAGAACGTTTGTAGTGACTAAGAAGAATTATGGTCGTGACTAAAAGTGGCGCCAGTGCGTGTGTATTTGTGTCGTCATGAGCCATTCTATATATTTACAAATGTTCGCAGTTTGCCAATTAATCGCCCTAGCGAAGCCAAGAGGCCTGCTCTATGCCTAAAGTGCTTGCAAGGGGACATCAGCTGATTGTCTGCGGTTTCGCGTCGCTGCAAGATACTCAAACTTCTTGCTTATCCCAAAACATCTCGGCAAAAACTTTTTCTTCACTAACCACCACCGCCCTGCATCTCAAGCACGATTAAGACCAATTGCCGGACTTAATGTAAAAAATTGCACTGGCTCCATGGAACTCTGCCATACGCTGTTCGAATTTGGTTCGCAGTTGCAAATTATCACCTCACTTCTTGCTCACCAGCTTCAGGTGATGCAGTATTTGCGTCCGATGGTTTTTCGGTCAACATCAATGTCGAACCTCGAGTGTCAGATAACTCTACATGCAGCCCGGCCGTAATTGCACCATTCATCACCGATAATCAGGCTGGCTTCACTCTTGATCCTGTATCATGGAACATTCCATCAAATACGCAACTAGCTGATGTTGAATTCTTCAAATCTCAGAAAATTGACATGTTTATTGGAGCCAGTCTTTTTTTCGATCTGGTATGCGTCGGCAAGATTAAACTAGCTACTGGACTACCGATATAGCAAAAGTCTCGCCTTAGTTGGTTCGCGACGGGAGATGCTTCACATGCAGGCAAATCATCACACGTAGCGTTCAATGAGGAATCCAGATCTGCTGGTAGACTCACATCTTCAGCCGAGTGCATGAATTGATGAATTAATCCGTCGATTTTGGGAACTGGAATGCTGCACCGAGCCTAAATCCTTCAAATCTAGAATGAGCGTGATTGACATCTAGAAAACTGGCCCACAATCCAATTTTGAGGACCCAGTATGCAGCATTTATTAAGGAATATCTTGACTTGGGTGATATGTCATTTGTTGGCTTAGCTACACTGGACCAGTGTAAGTACTACCTGCCACAGCACCACAACCAAGCTAAGCAGAGCACTAACTGTTGTCGGCAGCTGCACTTCCCTTCGTTGATTCGGTTGTCGCAGCGTCTTAGGCGAAGCGCAAAAAGCTGCTTGCCTTATGTTTTCCATGAACACGGAGATTGCATCCTCACTATTTCCGGAACTGCCCAGCTTAGCTAAAAACGCTTCAACAGAGGATCCAGGTGGGAGCATTCGTTGCTTAAGATACTTGAATTGAGATGTGTGATGCATTATTACCAGTATGGGTAAGTGATGCGAGAAGAGTTCATATTGCGATTGAACTGTGAGTCTTTTCCAAGCAATCGCGTTAGAGAAGAGAAAAAGAGAAGGTGTGAGCTGGGTGTTGTACGAATAAAATGTTTGTTTGCTTGTGGCCAGGACTTGACTTGAGGGGCTGTCTTACCTTCCTGTAAGCGTGTTTAGCGTTGAAGTCTCCACCTGCACTGAATTTGCTGTCCAAAGAGTTCAATATATATTGAAAGTCCTTCTTGGCCCATACTTTCTTAGGTGGAAGATACAAAAAAGCAATCGTAATGTTTCCAGAGTTTGTCTGCCTGTTCACACCAGCAAAGTGGGCATGCATGCACGATATGGGCTTATTCTGCAAATGACGAACAGAAAATCGGAAAATGACCTTGGCGGATTTTAGGGAGATGAGATGATGAACCAGGTCACAAAAAGCTTTGTTTGCTTCCATCGTTTCCTGTATCAATTTGAACATGTAATCTATTCTCAACTTAATGTCCTGAGTTGAGACCGCTCCAAAAGTCACATTTCTAGCATTAGCGAAGACTTTTTACAGTCGAACATTGGAAACCACGATTAGCAATGCTCACTTTCGGGAATCGAACCAGGTTACTAGCTAAACGATTATGAGTCTTGTTACGGATACGCCTCGAAGTCGATGACATTTAGGACGATGGGGCGTGGCTTCTTTCCTCCAGTGGGGACATTGTTGTTGGCCCTTATTTCAGTCACGGATGGGCTGGTGCTGGCATTGGTCTGCCTGCCGCCCCCAACCTGTGGATTCGCTGAGGCAGGAAAGTTTCCATCTTGGGCAAAGCTTGCTCGGTCTCTGATTCGTCAGTCTTCATGACTACGTTGTTATCGGGTGGTGCCAAAAAAACGTATCTATTGGAAGCATATTCGCGTACAGGACTGAACTGTTTTTGCCCGGTGGCAGTTGGGGACCTGCTGTCTAAGACATTACGGTTCTCGTTTTTTTCGCCTATGAATCAATCACACAATCACAGGGCGTGAATGGGGTCTATAGTCACCATGGCACCAGCATGCGGGCTGCTGCCGCGATCCATTAAAGGGTAAGAAGGTGAAAATACCCCTTCAGTCATCAACGCGGAGTATTTATTGTCCGCTGTTGTTAAACGGCTGATTAATCAGGTACTCGACGACGTAGTAGTGTCAGTATTTAGTTGGCTTACCTCTATAGTTCGAGACGGACCCTTATTGCGCGTGCGTTGCTCTTCTCAGCACTCACTGGCATGGTAGCCCGCGTTTGACTGTTTGAGCACGCACTCGAATTTAGATTTTTAATTATCTTCAGTTATTTACAGGCACTAGGAGGACCTAAAGTCTACATTTCTAGCTCTTAAAGTTTCTGAGATCCTTGCGGTCATACATAACGACTGACGGGCAGACGGACAGACAGAAAAAGTTCCCTTGCCAGGGTTTGAACTCGCAACTGACCGCATTAGTTGCTGTCGATATCGACATCCTGTTTTTTGAGCAAATTGGGTAAATAATGAGAGCTAGATCGATTGCTTGGAAACGGAGTAAGTTATCGATTATCGGAAACAAGCACCTGCATCTAAAATTTCAAGTCTCTAGCTCTTATAGGTTCTGAGATCCTTGCGTTCATACACACGGTCGGACGGACGGACATGCTGATCAAGAAAATATATACTTTATGGGGTGGGACATGATTCCTTCTGCCTGTTTTTGCATGCGGCTACTGTTGACCACAGCCTCTTTAAATATAGTTAGAAAATGCTGACTATGCGACACTTCTGTCAAGAACAACAATCCACCGTCACTGAGTTAGTTGACGCTGCCGCTGACAACAATAGGGCCAACTCCTCAATTAGTCTTTGGTCTTACATTTTTAAATAACCACAAAGGGAAGATCTTCGGATCCGTAAATAAACCACTATATTATTTGCCAATAAAAAATCTCCTTGTATATACTGCTTGCACTGTTCCTCACCGCCTCTGCTGGCTCTTTCTTGCTTTCGCCTGGCTTTTTATACCCTGAACCCATTGAAAATGGGTAAAAAGGGCTTTATGTATTTGTTCATGAAAGTCTGCTTCGCATTCTATCGCATTCTAACAGCATTGTAATTCCGAATTTTTTCCGTAATGCTTTTTTAATTCGTTTTTTTTTCAATAATACTTAATTATTGGTGTGGCTGTTTAGTAGAGGCATAGCAAGTGCAAACAATTTTTTTTTGGTGGTTTCTCTGTTGAGCAGAGTCGTCAGCAAGGGAACTTTTTTTTTTTAATATATCTTTATTACTTTAAACGAGCGCGTTACGCGAACTGCATTTGGTGTTGGAATCAGAGGGCTCAGGGTATTCCCCAGTCGAGAGCTCCCGACTAGAACCTCTTACTTGATTATTTTAAACAACTGATATTTATATTAACTTTAACGTTTACCTTTTGTACAAATGAGGTGAAAACAAATTAATATAAGGGACGAAAGCAGTCATGAACTAGCATTTAGCTTAATACAAACTTTTTTAATGTGTAATATTTTTGTTATTGCAGATATCCCCGAAGTTTACATTCGATTAGGAGCATCTTTAGATGCTAACGCTTTACGTGAAGGAACTGACGTTTACTTTGACTGTTTCGTGGTTGCTCACCCTCCGGTGTTTAGGATTGAATGGAGGCATAACGTAAGTGTTTTCTGTACAGTTACCATTAACAAGAAAAAGTTCTATAATCGAGACTGCCAGACTAATGGCACGGCTGCTCTTCAAACTTCTTTGAATACCTTAACAAATATGTAACCCAACATAGATAAACAGTCACAAGCTACTTAGAAATTTCTTCTTGAAATCAATCGGAATGTGACCATGTACAATCTGAGTCTAATAAAGCCCTACTAAGGAACCAAAAAGCGGTAGCCAAAGGCACAAAACCAGACTGAATATCTTGAGCAGCAAGAGAGGTAGTGGAGTGACCGTGAGTCGAGTGGCGCTCGAAGTGGGCGATGTATGTCATGGTGTCAACGCTCTAGCTTCTGGTGAATTAGTAAAATGCAGCAGGGTGATGCTTTCGTCCACAAATACGACAATGACTACCACTGCCAAGCCGATTTTGATATCCCTTTTTTAGGCAGCTGTAATAAAGGGCCAGTTTCTTAACTTCCTTATGCCGAAGGGATTGAGACAAATTTGGAAATTTACTGCATGTGTAGATCTCGTGATCAGATTAATGACCAAAACTGCAGCCATTTTGTTAGACTCAGCTACAGGCACTCATTTGCTGGTGGTAGTATTATGATTGGATTTTTCCATCTGAGCTTTGGTCACATGGGATGACATGGCATGTTGCTCTCTACACAGAACTCATCAGCTGTTGTGACCTTGTCAGTACCTGCGGTCTCTTCCCAATAAATCTGAGTTTTTAAACCAGCGTAAGCACTATTATACATCCTGAGATCTGCTCCAAACTGCTCAGGGTCTGCAAAACACGCATAAGAGCATTGACCTTGTCGAAAAACTAAAGCAGTTTTGAAGCTCACTCCGAATAGGTTGTTTAAGTTTGGCAAGCGCGTTCTATTGGCACGATCACGGTTTGGTTAACATGTGCACCTAAGTTTACATTCGATTAGGAGCATCTTTAGATGCTAACGCTTTACGTGAAGGAACTGACGTTTACTTTGACTGTTTCGTGGTTGCTCACCCTCCGGTTTTTAGGATTGAATGGAGGCATAACGTGAGTGTTTTTTGTACAGTTACCATTAACAAAAGAGAGTTTATAGTCGAGACTGCCGGAGTGGCATGATCGCTCTTGAGACTTAGCTTCAAACTTCTTTGATTCGCTTAACAAATATATAACCCAACAAAGATAAACACATATAAGCTACTTAGAAATTTCTTTTTGGAATCAATCTTTATTCATTTATGAAGGTTTTCATTTAGCATCCAAATGTGTCTATAAGTTAGCTGGCGTTAATCATTATATAATTTTTGAGCAGCAATAAAATGCACAAAATGAAATTAAAATAAATTTGTTGAACAGTTGTACTTAAAGGCATTAATAAATTTATATATACATATATAAATTTTATATGTATATATAAATAAGTTATTGAGAGATGATTATCCCGCGAAGAACCTTGCCGGTGTCACTCTGAGATGTAATCCGTCTTCAGGATGTAGTTTGTCTTCAGCCGAAGACAAGGAGAGAAATCTCAGTTGAGAGCGATTGACGTGTTTTACTTGTGCTCCAAGATATTTTATATATTTTTGCGCTTTAATCCTGCTTTTTATACCCTTGCAGAGGGTATTACAATTTTGTCGTGAAGTGTGTAACGCATAGAAGGAGACATCTCTGACCCCATAAAGTATATATATTCTTGATCATGCTGATCAACAACAGCCGAGTCGATAGAGCCATGTCCGTCTGTCTGTTTCTATGCGAACTAGTCTCTCAATTTTAAAGCTATCTTAATGAAATTTTGCAAAAGTCCCTCTTTCTGTTGCACGCAGCACATATGTGAAAACCAGCTGGATCGGACCACTATATCATATAGCTGCCAGAGGAACGATCAGTCGAAAATTAAGTTTTTGTATGAAAAATCATTTTGTTTATCAAGATAACCTGACCAAACTCGGCATTTATTAGTTTTACTATGCTCCTCAAATATATGCAAAATCCTATTAAGATCGAACCACTATATCATATAGTTGCCATAGGAACGATGGGTCGAAAATTAAGTTTTTTTATGAAAAAACATTTAGTTTTTCAAGATATCTTGACCAAACTCGGCATTTATTAGTTTTACTTTACTCCTCATATATATGCAAAATCCTATTAAGATCGAACAACTATATCATATAGCTGTCATAGGATCGATCGGTCGAAAATTAAGTTTTTGTATGAAACAACATTTTGTTTTTCAAGATATCTTGACCAAACTCGGCATTTATTAGTTTTACTATGCTCCTCATATATACGGACCACTATATCATATAGCTGCCATAGGAATGAACCGTCGAATATTAAGTTTTTGTATGAAAAAACATTTTGTTTTTCAAGATATTTTGACCAAACTCGGCATTTATTAGTTTTACTATGCTCCTCATATATATGCAAAATCCTATCAAGATCGGACCACTATATCATATAGCTGCCATAGGAACGATCGGTCGAAAATTAAGTTCTTGTACGAAAAAACATTTCGTTTATCAAGGTATCTTGCCCAAACTCGGCATTAACTATTTTCCCTGTGTTTCTTAGATACGGGCAAAGCACTATAAGCATTATGAAAAGGTTGGGTCTGCAAGGGTATTAGATCTTCGGCGTGCCGAAGATACCCCTTCTTTCTCGTTATTTCTAAATATTGCATTTCTGGTGCTTTATTTAATAAGCTTTTAAAAACTGTGCAAAGTGTTATCTGTCGTGCAGCGTAAGTCTGTTAATTATTGCATTTATTAAACGCGGCGTCTTTTCCGTGTTGTTGTTATTGTTTTGATTCCTTTGCTTTGGTGCTCCCCTGTGCATACACTTGTTTGTGCGTGTGTTCGCTGCATACTTTCTGCTTGTGCATCGCGCTCTCGCAATTTTTTCTATTGCTTTTCGCTCCAAACAATTTGTTTGTGTACGAATAATTGTTTTTTGAGTGTTTACTTGCTCTATCTTGTGCACCGTTTTCGTTTTGCTCTGCGCTCTCGCAAATTGCATACGCATTTAATAATTATGTCGTGCTGTAAGAAACCGTGCACGTTCAAGCAGGCTGATGATTCTGCACTGCCGCAATTTGTTAATTGCTGGCTGTGTGAGAATATGATGCATGCTAAATGTGCAGGTCTCACTGGGCGTGATTGCGACAAGATCGCTGCAATTGCCAAGAAGGGCTGCGGTGGCTTGCGTTGGTCGTGCCCAGAATGCATCGACAAGCAAATTGATTTCTCCTGAATGTATAATTCTGTGAGAAATCAATTCTTTAAATTGAATAATTTGGCTAAGCAGCTCTCGAGTAATTTTGACTCGAGTTTTGAGTTGCTTGGCAAATGCAAATGTGAGTCTCCAACCAATCGCCGGTTGGAGCCTCAACTATTGCAATTGTTCAGACACCTACGCCTCTCTTGTCCCTACCTTGCAACTTGTATTTATCTCCAATGTTGTCATTATCGCCTTCTTCGAGCGACTGCCCTTTTGCCCCTGCTTCATCCCCTGTAAAAGTCCCAGTAGAGCCCGTACCTGATCCCGTCCTAGTTATCAAAACTGACTCAGCCCCGTCAGCTCCTGGCCGCAAAGGTAGACCTGCGCGCAATCTTGCCCAGATTGTTAAAAACAATCTTGGTGCCTCTTTAGCTCCTCCAACTCGTGTATTACGTGTATTTGTGTCCCGACTTTCGTCTGACACCACTTCTGAGTCATTGGCAGCCTATATTGCTAGCAAATCTTCTGCTAGCGTGTCAAATACCAAATTTTATTTATCCACCCCTCGTGAAATATCATCATTCAAAATAAATGTTTCACATGATATGTTCTTAATCATTTGTGATCCCAAAGTTTGGCCTTCACACATGATTGTTCACGAGTTCAAGCCAAACAAGTATGAGGTTCTAGTCGGGAGCTCCCGTCTATGGAATACCCTGAACCATCTTATTCCAACACCAAATACAGCTCGAGCTATACGCTCGTTTGAGGTAATAAAGATAAATTTTAAAAAGAAGTTAATTGCGGTTCTACTGAACAGCCACACCAGCTCAAAAAAAAATAAAAATAGGTTCCCTGGTAAGGCACGAACTCAACAGGCACTCCAATATTTGAGTCTCATTGAGAATAAAATGAATTAAAATAGCAGCACAGAAAGCAATCGCAATTGCAATGCTGTTGATGGAGTTCGAAGCGGACATGCATTAATGTGTGTGTGTACATGTATACAGAAATTCTTTGAATTTGCGCTAGCTGCCGCTAACACGTGGGCAAAACACATAGCTTTTGTGTGTTCCTTAACCGATCTTGATGAAATTTTCTGCAGTATATCTTATTGTACCATAGAATATTTGTGTATTCTCAAAAGTCAATTGAATTTAAATTGTGGTTTTAATTTGTGGGCAATACAAGTTGGGTTATTACCTTGATTTATAGTTTTGCGGTAGTAGCGGAGAGGTGGCGATAGATATAAAATTAAAGACACTTGATATATAAAATATTTCTTGGCTGGCTCAGAGATCCCTCTTCTTCCAACATCAAATGCATATATATATTCTATGTTAGAAGCTATATGTCAAGTTTGGTGACTCTAGCTCTTATTATTTACCAAAATTGCCCAAAAAACCAGGATATCGATATCGATTTTTATTGATGACTCGGAAATGGAGTAAGTTATCGATTATCGGAAACAAACTCGATCTGCGCTGGAACTAGGAGCACCTACAACTAAAATTTCAAGTCTCTAGCTCTTAAAGGTTCAGAGATCTTTGCGTTCATACATACGGACGGACGGACGGACAGACAGACGGACATGGCTAGTTCGACTCGGCTATTTATGCTGATCAAGAATATATACATACTTTTGGATTTCGCACATATACAATATACCCTTGTACCCATTTTTAATGGGCTTAGGGTATAAAAAACAAAACAATTAACAATTAGATTACATTGATAAAACATTAATTTGAACGTTTTGCATAAACTATTTTATTGAAACTGA